AATAAAAAAATTCAAGGCCTTGAAAGTACTTCAATTTGAGGACTAGGGCTTGATTTTAGCAATGCTTTTCCTTAAGCAATTTTCAAGTTGAAAATTACAATACTTTCATGGAAAAGCTGAGAAATAATATTAAATAATTACAAAATTGCTTATGCAAACCATTCCTAAAGCGGTCCTTCAATTCTCTAAGACTTGGCCTTCAAAGTAATTGAAAAGTCCTTGAATTTCAACCTTTGGCATTTGTAGGAACCTACTCCTGTATGGTAATATATTATTTTGATTGTTTTCTTGTACCATAACAACATTCATTACACTCAGCAGACAAAAATAAACACAAGTAGAATTTTTCATGACCAGCAATAACGAAATTGCGTGACAACAGTGACAATCGCAATGTGGCAGTCCCCTAAAGATAACTCCAGATGTGCGATATTGAAAGCCCGAGTTCACGCAGCCATGCGTCTTGTTCTCTATTACACTGGTCTTGATTTCCTTACCACCAAGAAGTACCGCTACAACTAAAAACAGATGTTAATTACATCTTTACAAAAGTGTTTTAGAAGTTAAAAGCAACGATGTATCGAACTAATGAATCTTTTGTCACCGTATTTTAGCATAACTCAAAGATTCTGAATATAGAGGAGTGTTCTGTAACTACTTTCCTTTCCTTCTCCACTCCCAGAGCACTGTAAAAGAAAAGCTGGAGAAAAGGCTTGAGGAGGCGAAGTTGCTTGAGACATGCGCAGTACTCGAGAGTGAGCGTCTTTATCACGAAATCATAAAAGAAGCAAACGAAGAGCTTGCTGTTGAAGTTACAACTAAGGTGAACCGGGCACAATGCCCTTTGCGCTTTCGTAGTTATAAGTCTGTGCTAAGCGAGAACAAGAATTGCAAAGAAGTCTGTAGCCTGCGAACCGGCTCCCAGCGAGTTCCCCGTCGTCACCAGACTGCTCTCGGGTCGCTCCGCTCGCCCTAGACCACACTCGGTTAGCTCGCCCTAAAACCCAACCGGGAGCCTGTTCGCAGGCTCAGACGTCTCTGTAACTATCGCTCGCGTTTCATGCGTTCTTGGTGATTCGCGGGTGCTTTCGTGGAATTTGAACCTGCTCGAGATTTTATTGAGCGTTTTGTTTAGACAATGCTCACTGGGGAGTGAAAAGAACCCTCTCCCTCTCTTTTAGCTTGGGTTCGACGATGAACGGATACTGGCGTGTCAGCATTTCACGGGGAAAACAGAAGGTATAGCCAGTAAAATTGCTGGAGAACAATGGCGCTTGCATGGTTTATCTCTGGTTAATTATGTTAAACGATGTAGATTATTCGAGAGAACAGTTATTCAGCCGTACTCAATTAACTAAATAACACAAGTAGTTGAATTAACTTATGCAAACAATTACTTAATGAAATGCAAAATTCTTTGATAATTATTCCATGCATGTTTCTTACATTTGACCGTCTCACTCACTGTATACAACATATTCGTATTCTCGGTATAGGACTGGAACTAGCTTGCAACTGAGGCTAATGCGGGGAGTCTTTTCAAATGCAAATGACATCATTCTATTTTTATGACATCCCCCCGCATGAGCCTCCATTGCAAGCTAGTTCCAGTCCAATACCGAGAATACGAATATGGACTATTCTCGTAAAAGCGCGCGTCTGGCGTGGGAACACTGGTGAGAGAGATATAAGGCGATTAGGATCCCCCTGCGGACTATAGATGGGTGAGATTAAGCTGCTGATGTCAATGGCAATATTTAACAGATTGACCGATTTATTTGTTTGTTTATCGATTTAACAGGCCGTCCATGCTCTGTCAAACTTGTACAGATCCCGGATGGGTGACGTGGAAAAGGCGCGTCAGATTATTGATGATAACGCGGAGCATGATAATGGCAGGTTAGCAAATAGAGTCTGTTTCTCTCCAGTGAGTTTGTTTTCTTTCGCGGTTGTTATTAGCCTGTCCTAGGTTCTTGGTCAGTAAGGATGATCGAATAAGCGGGCGGGCGAAAGAAAACGAAGCGGAGTCAGGGGGAGAGAAAGAAAAAGGCCCCTGATCCCGCTAGTCTTTCTTTCCATGCAAGCAGTCCGTATGGCAAACCCCGACAAGGAAAACACATATCAGGACGCTTGGATTTACCTCAAGACTATCCTGCCATATAATAAATGAGTTTTAAATACGTTAGCAGCAGCAAAAGCAGCAGAGGCTCTCGTGTTGGTTGCTGCTTATCTTTAAATACTATCGCTGGAAGAAAATGTTTTTCCTCATAAACTGAGCGCGGAGCCCGTACTGGAGGAATATCACCCAAGGGTTAATGTCTTTTCCTTTATCGCTTTCGTTAATTTCACTATTCGTTTTATGCCAGCCAGCCGGACGTTGACATCGCTCATAATACCCGTGCATATTACGTGAAATACATACTCAAGTACTAGCCAATCAAGTGCGCTTACAATTGAATATATGAAAAATCATATATTTGAACAGCGGAGAAAGATACGAAGACATGGTTGATCATCGCAGTTATATACACAACTTAAGCAGCGGTAAATACATAAATAACGTAATTAGAGTCAAATCCCTCAAAGACGGACACTGTCCGCACCGAAACCCAACTGTCCATTTCGGAGTCTGGCAGTTGTTCGTCTTCTAGATAGCCGAGGTAGCCTGCAACTTCTAATCCTAAGATATGGGTACCAACACTGTACGGTACCTATCTCTTTAGTGACTTTAGGTGTCACATAAGGCCTCACTGTACGGTAAATACACATAAATTCAGGTCAATCTGGAACAAGATTAATAAAACCGAAAGACAGTCCTGTGCGAAATAAAACTATCTTGAGAACGCAAGAAGCTAATAAACTTTTGTTTTTTTACTATGGGTAATGTTTTTGCTACTGCAGTACAACTGTTTTTTCTCCAAATGGTATTTGCTGTCATGAGACGATAATTTTTCTTTGTGAAGTACTTTTTCGCCAAACATTTTTGAGGTGTCCACTGTCCGTATTGAAGTGGTGTTCGCCCGTCTGACGAACGGCTGCGACCAGTCCACCATAGGAAAAAAGATGGCGGTTGTACATTTTGTCACGATGCCTTGCGAACCTAACACAGGCTATAAGGCACAAAGAAAGCCAAATTTTTACAATATTTGCTCCTGTACTAAGAACAGTGAGAAGCCCAGGTTTGAAGGTTTTATAACGTTTCTGTACGTTTTTTAAAACGTTGTTGAGGTTTTTCGTGCGCTAAGAACTGTGGGTAAGTGTACCAGTCGCCATCTTTTTTCCTACGGAGGATTGCAGATGTCCCTCTGAAACGTGTGCTTTAAGGCAAAGCTCACTTGATAACTCCTGGACTTCCTATTTAACTGAAAATGTTCTCTCTCTTTCAGCGTTCTCAGCCGCGAGTCATCAAGTTCGGACGACTTTTCGGACAGTTTTGACGATTTGTTGGACAGTTCTGGCAAAGAGAATGGCGACGCGGAAACAGGAGAAGAGAGTGAAGAAAGGGAGCAGGTGGAGGATCAGTTTGAGAAGCAATACCTGGAGGAGGAACAAGAGCAACACCTAGAGGAAGAACGAGTATGCCTAAATATGGAACAAGACGACCAATACCTAGATATGGAACAAGACCAATACATAGCTATGGAAGATGAGCCACCGCAAGGTATTTGAAATTTTAGAATGTGTACGGCTTGCCGAAACACAGTACAAGGAATATAACCAGTATAATGTCACGTCCAAGGTTATTTAATTTTATCTGTCACCTTTGGACTGTCGTTCTGTTCCTGTTCTTGCTCTTAAAATCACTGGAACGTTAAATCGCCTTAATCTTCAGTTGCACTTGTAAATTTACGTCGTTTTGTTTTCGTGTCTTTTCTGTGACATCAGTGTGGCTTACAATAGATCTGGTTCCGCTCTGATCCCTAATCACTTTTCATATATGTATAAAACACAGTATCTCGCTCGGGGGTCCGTACCGTCCATCGCTCCGCGGACGCGCAGTTCCCGCCAAAACTGCCGCGTGTAGACGTCCCATGTTTTCGAAATAGACCGCATATTGGACTGGAACTAGCTCGCAACTGAGGCTAATGCGAGGAGTCTTTTCAAATGCAAATGACATTCATCTCATTTTAATGATACTCCCCCGCATGAACCTCCATTCCAAGCTAGTTCCAGTCCAATACCGAGAATACGAATATTATCTTTTCTCCAATGTCTGTCCAAAAGCTGGGACAGTCACTGTAAAGTTAAGCTCTCTACATTGCATAAGAATAGAGAACTTCGTAATATTCCACATTCGTATTCTCGGTAATGGACTGGAACTAGCTTGCAACTGAGGCTCATGCGGGGGAATATCATTAAAATGAGATTAATGTCATTTGCATTTGAAAGACTCCCCGCATGAGCCTCAGTTGCAAGCTAGTTCCAGTCCAATACCGGGATACGAATATGGCCTATTGTTATTCAACAAGTTTATTGGCTCATTATTTGGTTTACAGATGTCGTTTTCTATAACATTTTCTTGTGAAAGCCTTCACATTTTTTTTTCTGAAAGTCTTAAAACCGGAAATGAAAAAAGTAAAGAAAGTTCAAGGCAACTAAAAACTGAAATTGACGTTGGATTTAGCGTTTGACAANGCTACTGCAGTACAACTGTTTTTTCTCCAAATGGTATTTGCTGTCATGAGACGATAATTTTTCTTTGTGAAGTACTTTTTCGCCAAACATTTTTGAGGTGTCCACTGTCCGTATTGAAGTGGTGTTCGCCCGTCTGACGAACGGCTGCGACCAGTCCACCATAGGAAAAAAGATGGCGGTTGTACATTTTGTCACGATGCCTTGCGAACCTAACACAGGCTATAAGGCACAAAGAAAGCCAAATTTTTACAATATTTGCTCCTGTACTAAGAACAGTGAGAAGCCCAGGTTTGAAGGTTTTATAACGTTTCTGTACGTTTTTTAAAACGTTGTTGAGGTTTTTCGTGCGCTAAGAACTGTGGGTAAGTGTACCAGTCGCCATCTTTTTTCCTACGGAGGATTGCAGATGTCCCTCTGAAACGTGTGCTTTAAGGCAAAGCTCACTTGATAACTCCTGGACTTCCTATTTAACTGAAAATGTTCTCTCTCTTTCAGCGTTCTCAGCCGCGAGTCATCAAGTTCGGACGACTTTTCGGACAGTTTTGACGATTTGTTGGACAGTTCTGGCAAAGAGAATGGCGACGCGGAAACAGGAGAAGAGAGTGAAGAAAGGGAGCAGGTGGAGGATCAGTTTGAGAAGCAATACCTGGAGGAGGAACAAGAGCAACACCTAGAGGAAGAACGAGTATGCCTAAATATGGAACAAGACGACCAATACCTAGATATGGAACAAGACCAATACATAGCTATGGAAGATGAGCCACCGCAAGGTATTTGAAATTTTAGAATGTGTACGGCTTGCCGAAACACAGTACAAGGAATATAACCAGTATAATGTCACGTCCAAGGTTATTTAATTTTATCTGTCACCTTTGGACTGTCGTTCTGTTCCTGTTCTTGCTCTTAAAATCACTGGAACGTTAAATCGCCTTAATCTTCAGTTGCACTTGTAAATTTACGTCGTTTTGTTTTCGTGTCTTTTCTGTGACATCAGTGTGGCTTACAATAGATCTGGTTCCGCTCTGATCCCTAATCACTTTTCATATATGTATAAAACACAGTATCTCGCTCGGGGGTCCGTACCGTCCATCGCTCCGCGGACGCGCAGTTCCCGCCAAAACTGCCGCGTGTAGACGTCCCATGTTTTCGAAATAGACCGCATATTGGACTGGAACTAGCTCGCAACTGAGGCTAATGCGAGGAGTCTTTTCAAATGCAAATGACATTCATCTCATTTTAATGATACTCCCCCGCATGAACCTCCATTCCAAGCTAGTTCCAGTCCAATACCGAGAATACGAATATTATCTTTTCTCCAATGTCTGTCCAAAAGCTGGGACAGTCACTGTAAAGTTAAGCTCTCTACATTGCATAAGAATAGAGAACTTCGTAATATTCCACATTCGTATTCTCGGTAATGGACTGGAACTAGCTTGCAACTGAGGCTCATGCGGGGGAATATCATTAAAATGAGATTAATGTCATTTGCATTTGAAAGACTCCCCGCATGAGCCTCAGTTGCAAGCTAGTTCCAGTCCAATACCGGGATACGAATATGGCCTATTGTTATTCAACAAGTTTATTGGCTCATTATTTGGTTTACAGATGTCGTTTTCTATAACATTTTCTTGTGAAAGCCTTCACATTTTTTTTTCTGAAAGTCTTAAAACCGGAAATGAAAAAAGTAAAGAAAGTTCAAGGCAACTAAAAACTGAAATTGACGTTGGATTTAGCGTTTGACAACTCTGGTGGTAGGGGGAATAAATACCCATACTTTTTTCCGATGATATTGTGTTGTTTTGTTGCCGTTCGTCTGTCTCAGGAGACAATGGAACTCTGCGCCATTATTCAGTTTGTGGTTGAGTTGCAGCGCCTGCTGTGGCTGTACAGCCCAATTCTAGATCGGCAGGCTCTGTTGCAGTTGTTGCAGGTGAAAGCTGCGCATGGCTCTGAGGGCAGGGAATCTACCCTCTGCCGTCTGCGCTTTCTCCTCTCTTCCCATTGCTGTTGTCTCAATTCCTCGCTCCTCTGGACGCATGGCTTCACGGTCCTTCTCCAGTCACTGTGCTCCTCAGCCACTCCCTCCCAGCCTGCTGGATCAATGTTCCCTGCCCTCAATCAAAAACTAGCACGAGTACTTTTTACACCTTCTTGGTGTTATTAGCAGCTCAGCAACTTTGAAACTGAGGGTGCAGCCCGGTCGTGGAATCCAGATTTCGCTATCAATTGGTACTTGTTTTCCGTTATGCCCCTCACGTTCCTTCTGACTGATCTAGTGGGTAACAAGGTCGGATTTGTGCGAACGCTTACTTACCGCTTAGTGAATTATGCAGTTGAGAGCGCGATCCATCATTTGAACATCTGGGTTCTGATTAGTTACTGTTACGTATTGTATAGAAACGAGTGTTTTACTGGAAATACCAACAAAAAGGCACCAAAAACATTATTCATACCAAACTGCATCGGAGACCTAAGAAGCGTATTTTCCATATCCTCGCTGGAGAGGCGTCATTTATATTTTCAGCTTCTCACGGTTGTTTGTGCAAACAGTCAGCTTTCTTATTTAAAAAAAAAAATTACACAGTGGTTTGAAGATATTTATTGTATCTTCTCGTATTGAAAACAATATTGTGGAGATAGCGTGACCGAGTGGTTAGACCGCCGGACTTAATTGAAATCCGGAGGTCGCGGGTTCAAGTCCCGCTCTGACCACTAAGCTGGAGTTGTTTCTCGGTAGACCCTAGTTCAACTCCTCGGTCATGCTTGTAAGTAGCCAACTGGTCTGCCTCCTGCCAGTTGGGATTTTTAAGCCTATTATGTTTAGTTGGCATATCTATTTCTTTTAGTTTAAGTGGTATGCCTGTGAACTAGCGAGGTATAGCTAAGCGCATTGTCCACAATGAACAACAACATTTTGAACATTTTTTTTGAACATTTGAATTCAAATGATTGAAATTCATATCTTCGCGCCCCCCATGTAATATCTTCTATACAACTTTCCACAGGATTTTTTTTGCGGAACAGCGACAGTGAGTTTTTCGCTGACGATTATTGCGCTGAATCGGCTGATAGTTATGACGTTATGGATAACGGATTGAATTTTGCACCAGTAGGTAAGAGTGTTTCAAGATAATTTAACCATTCCCAAAGCGATCAGACATGTGTATGCAGTCTAGCCCTAGTAGATTCATTATATAGCTAAAATTCCGCACATTGTTTATTGTTTTGGTTTCAAACCTCTCTCTCACTTTTTTTTTTAATTATTATTATTTTATTCTTTTTTATTGCTCGAACAATATTACAATTACACCGCAATTACAAAGCAGTTTATGCAGTAGAATCGACGCATTACCTGTAACAAACTCACATTACCCTACTTACACAAAAAAAACACTAACTTACAACCTTGACTTACATTGACATACATTATTTACATACGCTTCTTACGTTGATAATAATTTCTTATTTTACTAATCAGACACTGTAGAACATAGTACAAGTTCACTAATTTCAATACGATAATTAACACTAAAAACCAAACGAAGAGGTCCCTCTCATGTCATTTTTAATGTATTACGTGTTTACTTCAGACAAAATCAAGGTCATGAGAACCGGAAGTGAAGCTGCGTTTAGCATTTGACCGCTGTGTGAACCGCAATTACTCGAACAGTGTTCATTCCCTTCTGGTTTGCCCTTAAGTTGACCTACTGTTTTTATTACTCGGTGGTCTGCAATGTGCAACACCCTTGCAACTTGTCACGAGGCTAAACTCAAGTCTGTTTCTATCATTACAGTAAGGGCTTCAACTCAAGTATCTGTATTAGAATGCGCTGACGTTCTCGCGGCGGAGGTGTCCCCCCGGTATAGCCCAACATCACTACAAGCTGTTTTTAGCTCTCAAGCCATGGATAGAGCTGAACAAGTGACAGAATCATTGGTCGAAGAGGGACGATTGCCAGCCAAGAAAGGTACAGTGAATACCCAATTTTCGAACTTCCCTATCTTTATTTGAAGCAGTTTTTTTGTACCCTTTGCATAAATATTTGAGGTATTTTTTCTCGCTTTTTCGAACCCAATTCCGCATCCCTTGGTGATTCGAAAAATCGGGATTTCAACGTATTGCACAATGGTGTACACGATATGGTCGAATAGTCTAAGGAAGAATTTGAGTGCAAGAAAATACTGTTACTAATATACTTACTCGCGGTTTAGTTATTCTTAAACAGCTTTTGCAGTGGAAAGGGTGTGTTAATGGAATTTACTCAATAATGTCCCGTGTGCACTTTTAACGTTTTGAAAAACACCAGGACGTTAACTTCAGCGAATATACTTTTTGTCTATATTCGATTTTTATAGCAATCTAAGCTGTAAAGTTAAGTTTAGAAGAAGACGTGATTTGACAGTCTACACTATCATTGTCAATCACAGTTATTTTGTAACTGACCGCGACAGTGAAAGCTGTCGAAACGTGTCTCCTTCTTGTAAACCCAGAAGTGTCGTGTTCTTTTTATAACGTTTCACTTGCCTTGTTCTATCAAGACCTTCTGGAAATCCAAATTGTGAAACGAACGTAGTAGTATGTTCTTCTCTGATCCTTGCAAATTTGGGGACGGTGAAGGACTTAATCATTACTGTTTCAATCAGTGTCAATCATTGCTTTGTTATTTCTCTTTGCTATAGCGGAAACAAAGGAGAGCGAGTGCAGCAGGGTAGGCTCAATGCGTACATCCTTAAGAACGAAGAGGAGCAAGAAGAAGATGGTGAAAGAAGAAGACGACGATGAAGGAGAAGGAGAAGAAGAAGAAATAACTTTACGTGCGCTCAGCGGAAAAACCTTGATGAATGTCGGCGAAGACATGGAGGTGCAAGAGGTATCAAGACCATCCAAACAAACAAAAAAAAAAAAAGCTGCATCACTGTCATTCTTTAAATCAACGGCTGTGTTTGGCGCTCCTGCTACCTTTAAAGGATCTCTGTCTGGCTCCGCTGCAGAGGAAGCATCAACTGTGGGTTCTTTGTTTGGCCAGCCGCAAAAACCAATCTTTACAGATGCAGCATCTCCCTCCAGTGGGAATTTGTTTGACAACCCTCTACCAAAGTCATTGGCAGCAACGGGATTTTCTTTTGGCCAATCAGAGAAACCTGGAATGCTTGGTGCAGGGCCACATCCTTTTGCAATTGGGGGAGGTGTATTTCCACGCGGGTCGCAGGCTGCATTCAGTGTTCAAGCTCCCTCTGGAGGATCTGTCTTTGGCTCCTTTCCAGAGCAAGCCGTACCACGAGCTTCTTTGCTCGGGCACTTACAACAAACGGAGTCAAAACCTACACCAACCACCACAACTGGAACATTGTTTGGTTCTGCTCTGCCGCCAAGCCCAGCGATGCTTACGACAGGAATGGAAGCGTGTTTTTTTCCTTCTGCTCAATCACAGAAAGCTGGGATGTTTGGTTCAGAACCCCATCCGAAGACTGCGGAGGCTGGAGAATATTTGCTTGGCTCATCTAGGCCAACAGCACCTCCGGGATCTTTGTTTGGCCAGACACAACAAACACAATTAAAAACTGCAGAACCCCGCTTCACTGGAGGATCGTTTGGGTTTGGTATGGTGCAACAAGCAATGCCCAAACCGGCAGCGCACTCAAAAGGAATGGCAGGTTTTACGTTTGGCCAGTCGCAGCAAACTGGAATGGCTTTTGGTTCAGTTAAGCAGTCCGTTTTAGGAGGAGGATTGTTCGGCAAGCCGTTGCGGCCGACAGAGTCCAAGCCCCTAAGCTTAGACAGATCACGATCCAAAGCTGAGGATGAGACAGGTCTTCTTGTCACAGATGGATTTGCCAACTTTTCTTCGAGAACTAATCGATTGCAAGATATGATACCACCAACAGAAGACGAAGCAATGCTTAAAACACAAACAAACAAAAAACAAATTCGTCTCCCTGAATTCCCCTTGACACGTTCCATGCAAGAGGAGATTCAGAGAGAAGAAAAGAAGAAAATCAGCCTTCAGAAGACTACATATTCAAAGAAAAAGTCAGCAACCCCAGAAAGCTCATTAGTTGCTGAGGTAGTAAAAAAGTCTGACCCCATGGAAGAACAGGAGCAACTCCAATCTTTAGCCACTCCGCCTCCAATTCTCCCACGCCAGCGGCCAAAGGACAAGGATAGCAAAGGGCAACTATCAGCTCCCGTGGTTGGATTTTTACCCCGACGACGAGGTGCTATTGGTCCTCCTCCACCACCTCCCTTAACTCCTCCTCCTCCACAATCCCCCTTTACCCCTCCTCCACCACCACCTCCTGGTCTTATTGTCAAGTCTGTCCCACCTTTCCCACCCCGTCCTCCTCCACCACCACCACCACCAACATGCCCAGGAGGTCCCCCTCCTGTACCACCCAAACCGGGGGATCGTTTTGATTCTCCCCACCGTCCTCTTAGCGGGGTAGGCCCTACATCTCCACTCCCAACTGACCAGCTTCACCGTAATCTCTTTGGAGTAAGTGCAGCCAAGTTAAAATGTGCCAAGGTGTCGCCAGAACTCGGAAAACCAGAGTTACGTATGCGAAGGAGTCAACGTTCCTTGAAGGAGGAACCTCTTTATGAAATACCGAAGTTAGGTAAGAAGAAGAAGGGTGCAGTTTTAGTTTATCTCTCTATCGTCTTTCCTGTGCAAAAAGACAAAAGACACAGACTTCTTCCAATATCCTCGGTGGTTCATTAGGACGAGGACGGGTGCTCTGTCGGACGAGGCGTTATAGACCGCCACCAAACCTTTGATGATCAGTTTAGTTGGTCAATCAGGCCTGACCAAATTATCGTTACAGAGACGTAACATTAATTATTTTTTTAATATCCCAGGTATACAACATAAGAGGAAACATTCGCTCTCTTTCAGTAGCTTTCTTCTGAAAGTATGGCTAAGGTTTTAAGTTGTTTTTTGGGCAACTGACCGACTCACTACTTGATTGGTTGATCGATCGATCGATCATTCATTCATTCATTCATTCATTCATTCATTCATTCATTCATTCATTCATTCATTGTTTCATTGATACATTGATACCTTGATTCCTTGATTCATGGATTCATTGATTCATCGATGAATCCATCCATCCATGCATTGATCCATCGATTGTTTATTCCTTTCTTTTATTGGCTGGTTCAGTGTCGTTATTTATTTGATTATCTGTTAGTGAGATGCGTTACGAGGTCGCGAGGAGCAAAGATCTCACATAAAGAAAAGATAGAACGGATCTTTTTCAAACAAAGCCCGGTTAGTATTAGGTGATACAAAAAAAACAGTAAAAATTATGTATAATATTTATTATTATATTATAAAATTAGTTGTAGTACCAAAATTTAAATCCTATACGTAAGTCTTGTCAAGGCACGTTAACTTTCATAGATCTCATCCGAAAATGCCGGATTAGTTTTCCGTGAAACCGGAAAGATCGTTTGGCAGCCGAACATTCCCGACCAATATCAGCGTGTAATTACTTCCGAGGAGAAGGCAAAGTCACTTTCGTTATATCCTTGTAATGGTCCTTGATGACGATCGAAGAACCGTGTTGAATTATGAACCCTTCGTTTCCCAAACGTAAAATAGAAATTCTTCCAAACTGAGAGCTTTGATTTCTAACTGAAAGTCTGGAGAAATAGGCCATTTTCGTATTCTCGATATTGGTTTGGAACTGGCTTGGAATGGAGGCTCATGCGGGGGAGTATCATTAAAAAGAGAATAATGTCATTTGCATTTGAAAAGACTCCCCGCATTAACCTCATTTGCAAGCTAGTTCCAGTCCAATACCGAGAATACGAAAACGGTCTAATACATCATCAAGACAATTTGCGTGAGCCTAGCATTTGCTGAGTGATCGCTTATAGAGCTTCCTCGTGTGGTATGTTTCAGGAGGGGTTCTGGAAAGTGGTTGACTTGACTCTCATTGGTATAAACATAAATAGTTTCAATGATTTGCTGGAAAACGCTGGT